TCAGGGTTTAGATTTTTGTGATTTTTTTAGATTTTCTACTGTCCCTGCAATATTATTACCCCCATTATCGTCAGAGCTACTGTCACTTTTACCATCTGTGGCCACAGTTTTTTGTTCTCCCCTGTCACTGCCGCTCTCTCAATCACCATAACTAAAAGGCAGGTCAGCTGGCTCACTGGAGAAAAATTTGTCCTTGTCCATACCCCACCACTAACTACTGGCTGATATATACAGCTCGAAGAGCAGGAAAGCATTTTTTTTATAGTGGCTTAAGAAAACAGCGAGATCAAGTTACTGACAAATAAGCAAACATTCCAGAGTTTTATTATGCCATTGCGTGCAACTTGGGTGGCGCCAGAGCAAGGTATAGTGTGTTACAAACTAACGTGTCCTAAAATCATGATATCATGCGACCGGTCCACCACGTTTAAAAGCCAAAAGCATGATATCATGCAACCGGTCCTCAATGTGTTAAAATCCCCATTCTCTGAAGGTGATACTTAAAGAATAATCACAGCTTTATCAGTTGGTATTTAATATTGTTCATCAGGGTGACTTTAAAACATGTCATTTTTTTGTTCATACATCATTCAAGAAACTCACTAGAATTCCCTGAGTCTAGGGTCTCAGAAGATGGGACTTTCAGCAGTTCCAATCAAGATGATACAGCCAAGTTCATTTCCGATATGGCTCAATTTCTGCAGTTCAACAGTCTGGTGGTGGGTGACCATGATTATGAACCACCGCTGGACTGTTGAACTGCAGAAGTTGAACAGTCTGCTGGTGGGTGACCGTGATTATGAGCCACCAACCAAGTGTTCTCGAATAGAAGAAACCAGAGTATATCATGTCATCACTGCTGTATGAAGGTAAAAACTACATTGTACCATCACCAGATGAAATCTGGCCACCTCCAGCACCTGAAGATGGTCATATCAGCAACATGCTTGAGAAGCTATTGGGAGAGCAGATGAAAGTTAATATTTCAGATGCAGGTGTATGAAAATCTACGACTTACTTTGTTTTATCTACTATTTCGACCTCTGCTTGGGCTGTGATGGGAGTGTTGGAATGCCCTGCCATTGGATCGTCATTTCCTAATTCAGCATTAGTTGAGCTCACGACCTAATAACCAAAGAAACATCACAGAATAAAATATGATCCATACAGCAACCCTTTTATCACTAATTCAAGAGCATGGACACTAAACTACACAAAAATTGAGTAAAATATTGATGTGCAAATAGGCGAGATTTTGATTTTGGTATCATATTGTGCAGTCTTACTCAGAAACACAAAGAACACAATCACCTATAAATATATAATTGTTTGCCTTGTTTTTTTTTCATTGGTACATGTTATAAAATAAGCATTTAAAATAATTTTATACTATTTTAACATTAAACAACAGTTTCCAGAATGCAATGTTGATAATATAAGTACTATCAAATGTTTTAATTATTTTGTACAAAAAAATAACATTTCATCTTTAACACTACACTATATTTATCATTCTGAAATGCTACTCCAAAACTACTACCTGAAGTGAATAAATTACGAGTATAAAACACAACAAAGCCTTCAGGACACAAGTTAACAATTTAAAACTGACAACCAACCAGGTTTTGTGAACAAGTAATAGAAATCCAGTTTTTTTCCATTCATTTACAGTTCTACAAAATCTATGGAGGCATCTGCCTCAGATATAGAACAAGTCAGTAATACAATATAACATATGAATATACATACATAATCAGATAGTCATCATCGTCAAAATTTTATATTGACATTCAGGAAAATATTAAAGGCGGTATTTATATCTTTTTCATTAATTACATCTTCCCATGACTCATAACTTAAGTTGTTATTAAAATTAGCAATTGAGACCTCATTTATTTCCCGTATATAGCAGTAACTTTTTTATGTTTTTGTTTAAATATATTATGTATTATTAGGTTCTGGGTATCATGATCAGAAAGACCATTTATTATGGGATATACAATAAAATTTGTAAACTTATATGTATTAATAAAAATATTATCAATTGTAGAATAAGAATTTTTTTGGACTCTAGTAGGGAATTGGATTATACTATGCAGTCCATAAGAGGCTAGTAATGAGTCTAGCTGCTGTTTGTGGGGAGAATCATTAAGATAGTTGATGTTTATATCACCACATATTATATCTTCAGTGTGGGCAAAAATCATATTCAAAAGTCTGTCAAGGTTTTGAAAAAAATGCTGAAAGTTACCAGAAGGAGCTCTATAGATGGCAATAACACATGTTTCATGAGCAGGGAGGTGCAACCTAACTGCACATACTTCTAAGTCCTTTTCTTTAAGTATTTTTCCATATTTATATTAGTAGAATAGATAGTTTCACATACAAAAATACATGCACCCCCATTCTTAAAGGTGTTCCTACAAAAACTAGCCCCAAGTTTGAAACCCGTCATCAAAGTAGTGTCAATAGCAGTATCACGAAGATGGTGCTCGGTTAAGTAAACAATATGAGAGGAACCCAGAAAAGAAGAGATAGATAATTCATTTAGCTTACTGATATTTAGTCCTCTAATGTTTTGAGGGTAGGTAACTAGATCTTCATTACCTGGTTTTAGGGGCAGTGGTTGCTTTATATGTTTCCTATTCTCCTTAAAACTAGGTTCACTATGATTTAATGTGTACACATTTAAGTGCTCCATAAAAAATCATCATTTCTAGATGTTGGTATTTTTCTATTGCATTTAGAAATTTGTCGAGTTGGCAGTTGGGCTGGTAAAGGATTGGTTTTTAGGAGAACATCCATTTGTATTTCCTTGTCATGCCATTCAAGAATTATAGGTTTTGCATTGACTCTTTCCAACTGTGAAAGTATATGAGACACTAATTGGTTTGATGATATTTCCTTGCCTAGCCCATTTAAGTGAGAGCCCTGCCTTGTATATAGTAGTCTATTATTTATCAATTCTTTTGTAATTACATGACTAAAAATTTTTGCTAGTTTACTCAGTTTGCTGTTAAAAAGTTGAATTGAATTGTTTAAGTGAGAAAGTTCTGTAGTATCATATCTAAGAGGAGCACTTATTAGTATTACATTGGTGTGCTTTACATTCTTAATGTAATTTACAATGTTCCTGAATGCTACTCTTAAGTCATTTATTTCTACTAATGTCATTAGATCCACTACTAATTATTAAGAAGTCATTTGCTATTAGGTTGCCCACTTCTTCCTTCATTATTTCACTTAATGATTCTATGCAAGGTCCTGGATTTATCACACCACACACTTCAAAACGAGCATCCAGAGAAGTTATCATCTTTGCTGCACAACCTCTCACATGGCTATCACCAATTGTCAATACTTTGTGCTTATTACCTTTAACACTTTGTGGACCGGCAATTTAAATATTTAAATCACCCTGCGGACTGGCATTTTTATACCTACTACCCTACTACCCTAACTGTTCACTTCAAAAATTGATATAAAATCTCCTAATTAATTTTATGATCTGAAATGTTTTGAGAACACTTACCAATGCTTCTAAAAGTGCTTGAGATTGTGATATTTCTCGAAACATTCCCCTCTGTGAAGTGGCATTACACAAAACTTGCAAATGTAGGCAGTCCTCCTTTTCTTGTGAATTGCACAAACACAGCATTGCCTAGAAGGCTGCTTCCTCTCGAAATGTTCGCTCTTCACAATTTTCACGAGTGTATATTTCCGCATATCACCCGAGAGTCACCCAGGTGGGTCAAAATGAGGCCTGTGTGTGGTGGGAGTAGACGGCCCTGGTTCTGCCGCTACCGTGTGGTCTGTAGCCCAGGCTTTTGCCACATTCAGCAGAAATGCCTTGTATTTCAATTTTGAAAACCAAAAATGAATTCAAAATGACACAATTTATAAGCCACAATGCAACTTTCTTTGGCCACTTTGCTGTTTTCCGAGGAAGAGAATAATAGGCCAAGTACTAATCGGCTCTATGAACTCCCTTTATGAACACATTATACTCAGATATACAAACAGGCTTCTTTACCTGTCCATGTCTCCTTTGAACATCAACCATGCTCGAATTGTGAATTGTGGAAATCATATTCACAACACGAGTATCCCTCCAGGACTGAAGAAGAATATCCCCTTCCTCCTGAATGTGGTTTCACCATGTTTCAGGGATTTATATTCCTCTTTCAGATCTGGAGGAAGGCCTCTGTTCACCCTAATTTTTCCACAAACACGTACTTTTCTTGAAAATAGGTGTTCTGCAGTTGCCACACTGTTATAATAATTGTCTTGATACACATTGTAATTTTGATCAAAATAGAGTTCCCAAACGGAAAGAATAGTTTATTGTAATTTCTTTCCTTCACCGGAATAAATTTCTAAATTTCCAATATAGCCTGAAGTGCTTTCAGTAACTACACGAACAAGTAGGCCATACTTTGTAAGTTTCCCAGGATTATATGTTCGCGTACGAAGCCTTCGCCCCCAAGGAATCACAGATTCGTCCAAAGACAGTTGTTGGTTTGGCTTATAAACTGTCTGAAATTTCTGAACGAAAAAGTTCAATAAGGGCAGAATTTTGAAAAGCCTGCTTGTTGATTGTGGTTGCAGTTCATTATCATTGAAATGCAAACACCACCAGATTTGCTTAAATCTCTTATGGCTCATTAGTTTGCCAAAAATTGGAATTTCTAAAAATGGATCTGTTGACCAATACTCTTTCAGATTATCCCTCCTTGTATGGTCCATTAGAAACACAATTGCAGTATTTTTCTCATTTCTGTTTAAGTGACATCCACCCACTTCAACGCCTTATAATGTCTGTCACGATGTTCACGGTGTTGGAGATATTATCTGTTAAGTTTCCTGACATAGCATGTCAAAGAAACTATCTCCAAAAAACAGTTCTGCTGCTTCAGACACTTGCGTTGGGTCTGATGGAATTTGCTTCACCCCTGGATTTCCAGTAAACTGTCCCAAAGCAGGCGTGTTGTCTACTTTTCCTCATGTGGCTGTCCCCGCAATGTTGCTACCCGCACATTTGTGAGCTACGGTCACTTTCACTTTTACAGTCTGTGGTCACAATTTTTTGTTCGCCCCTGCCACACTCAATATCAGATTGTGAGTTGCTATCACTAGCAGACTCACAAGGGACATCAGATAGCTCATCGGAGAAGACGTCAGATATTTCTTGTTCTCCAAGAAATCGCTTAGGTGTCAACCGCTTTGGTCTTTGATCCATATTGAACTACTGACTGACAGCTTGCTACATAAAGCTTGAAGAAATAAAGGCATTTATTTTCCTTTGCAGGGGCATAGAGTTACAGCGAGGTCTAGTAACTGATTGGTCAGCAGACATTCCAGAGCCTTATAACGCCACTGCAAAAAGCTACATGCTAGGTAGGTGGAGCCAGAGAGATGTATAGTGTGTTGCACCTTATCGTGTTTTAAAAACCTGTTAACATGCAACGGTCCGCCATGTTTAAAAGCAAAAAACTTTTAAAGGGTGCGCGGTCTGCAGAGTGTTAAGATATTTTATCTGTATGGTAGTTAGTTAGTTAGTTATTGGAGAGGGTGGGTTTCCCCATGCACTTACACCAGTATTGGTCCATTGTGCTTCCTCCTATAATATTCTACCAGTCTCTATACCCTACTGGTACTGGTGGGTCCCATCAGTCCCGACCGAGCCAGCGAGTTCGGCCTCTACTGGCTCAACGGTACCTCGATGCTTCCCCCATCTACCAGAGGCGTTAGAGACTACTGTTGGGCGGGAAATGTCCTGAATTTGGCTCAGTGGTCCCCTTGGGACATGAGGTTCTTTTACGTGCCGTAAAGCTACGACACGGGACCCACGGCTTAAAGTTCCTCCCGGAGGACTTGTTCCCTGAATTTTTCTGCCCTTAAAAATTCCATGACCTCTGCCGGGTTTGAACCCGCGTACCTTGAGTCACGAGGTGGGAACGTTACCCCTAGACTATGGAGGCCGCTTATCTGTATGGTAAGAAGAAAGGCAATAAATTCTGTCATGTTACCGTACATTTTACACAGACTGGTTGTTACAAAGAAAAAGACACTTAAAAAAATGTAGAGAAGAGCACCACTTATACAACTTGTGCAATACTGTATCTTGACAAACTCCAGACTCTAAATACTTGGAACACATGAAGTACTCAGAAGCTGAGTTGGACTGTAGAATGATACATATTTATATTTTTCAGCATTTCTTCTTAATCTGCTGATCCACCGAGAGAGTGATCACAACAGCAGAAATACTTTCAACGAAATCTATTGCAACTGCAAGGGTATATTATTTTCCACAAGTTGACCAAAGTCTTCAAAATAGCAATGCATCTTTGATGCTAGAGTGAAGGATTTCAATATGTTATTCTTGTGCTCTAAATCTCCATGTTATACAAACCAATATCCTGATCATGTGACAACAGTACACTGCACACCTCCCCCATGAAATGTGAAATGGTATAAAAAATTACGAGCTCCTGTTTTGTATTTCTTAAGCAAACCCAAGCAGTTTCTGATTTCCTAGTATCTCATTTTTACAGGACATTATGCTGGCTGACTGCAGTAACAAATGTCTTCTCTTGAAAACCTTGTTACCAATACATGTCCCCTTGAAATTAGTGTCATAAAGTTCACACATACATTCACAAATTTCAAATTCCAGGGCAAAATCTGAAGTTTTATCAGCTTATCACTAGTTTCATAAACATTTCACATTACCTTCCTCTGCCTGATGGTGCTCCAACATGCTAAAAATGGAACAGTATGACACCTTTTGACAACACAGTTATTATGAACGCAGTGCTAACCACAAAAAGAAAGTTGTACTTTTACTTTAAAAATCTACTTTGCAGCTCAAAATTTGCAGATTATTAACAATGTGGAGAAAGCCATGGACAAAACAATAATCTGCATTACTGTGGCTTCACAAGACATGAAATCACAGAGTACTGTCTTATGGGACATAGGGGTGTGTCTGTAGTGTAATCTGGTAGTTTATCAACATTTCTGAGAAACATACAGTGTCCACCTTCAGAGCTGAAAAGTAAGCTAAACAAGCTGCAAGGAGTGCACAACTGTGCCCCTTGCTTGGCTTACTCTGACCCTGAAGATGCAGGCAGTAAGTTCCTCCAAAATATCGGCTAACTTCTGCCAGACTATGCAGCATCACAGTTGCTGCTGTGTGAACATGAAACCAGTTTGTAATTGGAAGGTGAAACATATGCTACAAATTATGGCTCAAGTAACTGTTACAAGAAAATAACAGTACCCTTACAGTAATATGCTTAACATGACTAAAATAGGTCGCTCACAGTACCTCCACAATTATCATGTCAGGAGTTGTTGCAAAACATTTTACCATACACAACAGAAAGGAATGCTCATAAAGCCCATAAAACTTGTCCCCGGAATGTGTAAACACATGTTACTGTAACTGTATTCCTCTGAAATTAAATCTGATAACAGTTCATCAGTAATACTATAATGGGGCAAAAGAGTAGTCATCATTTAATAGCTGATTGTCTACCGTTCATATTGAAGAAAATCATGTCTTTACTTACAGATCTCTAGATGAAAGGAAGAATTATGTTACTTTTTCAAATCAAACAGCAATTTCTGCATGGAAGTACTGCACCCTAATGCTGCTCGAGTATGCCAGTACACAGAGACAACTGGTCACAGTGAATAGATTTTGATAAATATTCATAATGAGATTCCTTACTAAAATTTCAAGAAATGTAATTTTGTTTCATGAGATAGCTCAGTCAGTATAGCAACATGCTACAGGCTAGATGGCCAAGGTTCAATTCCTGGCAGGGAATATTTCTCTCCTCTGTATCAATCCAGACCAGCTCTGAGGCCCACCTAACCTCCTATCCAATGGGTACCAGGGGTTACTCCCCCAGGGGGATAAAGCAGTCAGGGCATGAAGCTGACCAGTCACCTTCATCCAGTGTCAAGGTCAAGAGTGGTGGAGCTATACCTCCACTGCCTCATATGTCTTCATGGCATAATGCTTAATTGAGCATGGGAACAATTTTACCTTCATTAGACATTCTTGGACTTTTCATGATACTTCAAATTTGGATTTAATTAATACCAAATGAAATTATACATCTGGAAGAGAAAAATTAATCTGTAGGACAGCAGTGTGTGTTCCAGTATGGCAGTTAATTATTCCTACTGTAAACCAAGTAATGGGTATAACATTTTTGGATGGTGTTGAAGGAAAAATGAGAAGGGATGTAAATATAAGAAGAATGAAGAAAGCAGTCTTCTGGGATTTGGCACCGTGTATATGTGGTGTTAACCGACGTTTCGGAGGAACGTATCGCCCCCATCTTCAGGGTTGAAGGAAAAGTATAAGTAAATCTGCAAGCGACAACACCGTGAGACACGAAGAATGTTTGCAACTGCTTGGTCATGCAAATAGAATGATAGTGTGGCTAGAGCAAGGAAGTTGAGAAGGGCTTTAGAATTATTTTCTGAATGTTAGAGTCATCCAGTTGGGTGGATACTAATAGACAGTAAGAAGAGAAGATCTAACTGGCAAGTTATCAAAAGTGAAATGTGGGAAGAAGGGGTAGAGATTGGAGATATCTTGCACATAGATCTGTGTACAGCAGAAATTATGCCGAAGGACATGACAAAAAGATTATTGTGTTTAATTCTTTGATTCACATAATACTAGGAAACTGAATTTTATTCACTTTGTTTAATTATTCCACTGAGACCATTGTGCTATCATGAATGTGGCCCAGTGTAGACTGAAGTTTGTTATGCTGTGAGACATTCTAACCACCCAGCGGTGTTCCTGCAGAGCTCACCAACGGGTGACACGCTGCCATCAATATCATGGCCTGCCAGTACACTCAGTCCCGTCTTCCCCACAGTACTCATCGGCAGTGAATTCTGCCCGCACCAGCACTGCCTCGGACCTGCATGCTGGCCCACGGTTTGCGCCTACCCGCCAGGTAAGTCCCTGTGGCGGTAAGAAATTTCGTTTCTCCATGTCGTCCAGACCAGCTCTGGGACTTGCCCAGCCTCCTACCCAGTGGGTACCGGGAGCTCTTTCCCCAAGCTGTGAGGCTGACCACTCACCTCCAACTAGAGGCAAGGTCAAGAAGACATGGTTTTATACATCCACTCTCCCATATGTCTTCATGGCATAGTGTGTAATCAGTTAAGAACAGGGACAACTTAACCTTTTTACCTTTTCTGTAGATCAACACTCAATAAGTTATTCTTGGGCTCAGTTAACTAAGCAAGAGACTAAGAAGACTTATTCTTAACCTAGGCACTAGATGGACGTAGGTGATAAGCATTTTATGCTGGCCATTGTAATGATGGGGGCAGAGCATCCGGTGTCCAATTGTTAGGAGGTTGAGTTGACCCTAGAGCTGATCAGGACTGTGAAGGAGAGAAAAGTCTCTTCATTCTGCCAGGAATCAAACCTGCTTTCTTCTGCCATTCACCACATAGCCCATCAGAGAAATATTAGTTTTCACTGCTGTAATCTTATGCTGCAGTAATGGAACCCACATATATTTCTCTGTTGAAGGATTTTCCTCATTTAATGTTCAGTTTTAATGTCCTCCAAGCTAGTAAACTCAAGTCATCTCAATTTAAGGTTTTCCTCAGTTTGATGTTCGAATTCACTGGTGTCTGAAGATATCTTAACTTGAGATTTCACTGTATTCTTAGCTACCACCAACCTGAGCATAATCTATGAAACAGAATAGCAAGTATTAGCTTTTTAAATACAAGTTTGCATTGTAAATTGATGATCAAGTAATTGAAAATGTATTTTTTGTAACTTTGGGTGATTGTTGGATTTACCTTGCAGGTCTGTCAGTTTGGCCGCTGCACACCACACAACCATCATTATCAGCTTTATCTACCTTTCCTGGTGCAGTCACAACTTGGTAGAGTTGCTCGTGAGCAGAATGCACTCTCAGGATGACCATCATATGTTCACATTGCAACTTATGCACATAGGCAACTGCAGGTATGTACTGAAGCATGGTCTATTGACCAACTCTGTTACCACGAATCATTTTATGATAAGAAATTGTAGGTTCTCACTCCAGTGACTATGAAAAATTACAGTTTCTGGGATGTGTGACTGTGTAATCTGGTTGGATGAATATGTTTCCTCCATATTCTTCTACCCTGAAGACAGAGACAGCTTGTTCCTGCAAACTGTTGGTAAATGTACACCAGACTACATACCATCACATCCAAGAAGAGAGTAGTCCTCATAGTCAGTGCAGCAGTAACCTCAAATCTCACATCAGGATTAATGTCCTGTGGGATGTTACACCATGCAATCTAGTATGGGTTTACTGACATTCGAGAGGAGCATACTGCCTCCATCATCAGGGATATGGAGGTAGTAGATATGCCTGAAAATTTCGTATTGTGTGCTAGATTGATGTCAATCTTCAGGGATATGGAGGCAGAAGATATGTTTGAAAAGTTGGTACCTGCATACTAGATTGGTTACTAACATCACAGAAGCCAGTGATTTTCTACTAGCAGTAGGAGAATGTAGCATGGCAAGTAAATTTCAGATGTCTTCTGCATTGTTTTTCCTGCATTTAGTTTGGGTTTTAGGCCTTTATGTTATGTCCACTCTCCTTATTATAGATCTCCCAATGACAGAACATGATGACAGCTGCATATATAGATATAGTTGAATGACTTAGATTATTCTGTGATTAAGATTAGCTCTTTCAAATGGATCCACCTAAGTAGGACCCCTTCACCTCAGGGACAGGGACAGTGTGTTTATGTTTATGTGTTTATGAAACAATACGTTCATTCAGAATACAAATTGATGGACAATATCCAGAAACGTAGTGATCCAGATATGTAATTTCTGACTTCCAGTTTCTCAATCCAGTACACATTCCTTGAGGAGTTACTTTTCTACAGTAATATTTTATAATGGATCTCCTTTTAGGAGGTGCAATAACACAGTGAGTGTAGTGAGTGGATTTCATAGCACAGTATTGACATAAAAGAATGTTGCTTTCCTTCTTAGGGTGAACATGCATCCATCAGGCAGCAGAGAGTACTGGAAGAATGACACAGTTGGATCAAGGAATTGTCCATCCCTGGTCCACATGGACGTAATTCGTGGGTCCTCACAGGGGCCCATCCTAGATCACCACGACACCAACCTAACACCAGCAACAGAGGGAGGTGAGAATACACGCCAATAGCCACTGCAACACATAATTTTCTAATTACTAAAATACAAACTAATATCTTAATATGAAATTGGTTATACGTCCTTTGAAGATGGGACGAAGTTGAAGTACAGTAACAGTGAAGCAATGTGTGTGATTACATTGGCAGAGTAACTTAAATGTGGGAAATGTATGGAGCTATCTAGTTCACAGTTTTTGTGTGTTTGCTTCTGTCCTAAACACTGGAAACTTTTCTTATTAAGTAACTTTATAGAAATAATATGTTTTCTGTGAAAGTTTTGCTGGTTGTATGAGAATATGCGGATGGTATGGCACTGGACAGCAGAGTGTGTTGCTTCATGGAAGTTAATTATTCCTACTATAATCCAAGTAATGGGTATGAAATTTTTGGAAGATGTTGAAAGAAAATTGAGACGGGATATAATTATAAGAGGAATGGGTACAGCTGCTTGGTCATGCAAAGGGAATGAGAGTGGCTAGAGCAAGGATGTTGAGAAGGGCTGTAGAATTATTTTCTGAATGTGAGAGTCACCGAGTTGGGTGGATATTAATAGACAGTACGAAGAGAGGAAGTAACTGGCAAGTTATCAAAAGGGAAATGTGGGAAGAAGAGGTAGAGATTGGAGATATCATGCACATAGATCTGTGTACAGCAGAAATTATGCAGAAGGACATGACAAAAAGATTGTTGTGGTTAATTCTTTGATTCACATAATACTAGGAAAGTGAATTTTATTCACTTTGTTTCAGCATTCCACTGAGACCATTGTGCTGTCATGAATGTGGCCCAGTGTGGACTGAAGATGCTTATGCTGTGAGACATTCTAACCACCCAGCAGGGTTCCTGCAGAGCTCACCAACAGGGGTGACACACTGCCACCAACAACATCATGCCCTGCCAATGCACTCAGGCCCTTCTTCCCCAGGGTACTCATCGGCAGTGAATTCTGCCCGCACCAGCACTGCCTTGGATCTGCATGCTGGCCCACTGTTTGCACCTACCTAGCAGGTAATTCAGAAAACTGCCATGTTCAAAGCACAACATAATGTATGAGAAGGGAATAATTTTAATCCTTCAGTGTTGTAGCATGCGAGCGGCTTTTGTCACATGTCGCTGAAGTCTGTATGTTGCTTGCACAGTGCAGTGCTAAGTTTCAGCCTATTTTGAACTGTTGTTTTTCATGTAAAGTAATTCTTTTTGTGTGAAATTAAAGAGGAAATTTCAGGCTATCATTTTGTATTTTCGTTGGCCCACTTTGAACTTCCTGTGGCAATTGTAATACATTTGAATTCTTTGAAAATTTTTTCTACTTCAACACCTGATGTGCTTGTTACCATACAAATCTATTCTTGCCATGAGGAATTCTTATGAACTAAATATGTTAGATCAAGACTGTGTGCTGTCCTGAATGCTGATCGAATGAAAAGTCTATTCTTTTTATGCATGTTGTGACCAATGCTGCTTCGAGATTTGAATTTGGAAGCATGAGAAAACATGTGGACAATCTGTGACTTTGAGACGTGATGTTGACTCTAAGAAGTGTGTTATGACTGCTGTGTAGCAAACCATAAACAGTTCGCTATATGAATGGTACTACTATAATTCCCCTTTGATCTTTAAATACATGCCATGCACTCTGGTTTTAGCTGCCAAGGCCAGTCACGAGCAGTGAAGTGGCCAGCTGTGTTGTGTTACGACCAGTGGACGATATTTTATTTCAAACTGAATCAGAACGAAGTTTTATCAGAGTCAGAATTTGACACTGAAAATGGATGTTTGTGCTTTTCTCTCGATTCTTTGGTGACAGAATCGAGAAAAGCACGAACGTCCATTGGGAGAATTTTCAAAACTATAAGGGGCAAAAAGAAAATTTCTGAATGGGATGATATGTGGGAATAATACAAGGGAAAGAATAGATCAGTTGTCAATCAGAATTCAGTTAATTGAGGGACTCTCTGTGAAATAGCTAATGCTGTAGAATACGAAGTGCTGGGTTAACATTCATCAGAAAAACAGTGCCTGTCTAAGAGAAAGAAATTTTATAAGCAAAACTCCACCACTGTGAAGACATCAAGACAACAGAAACGTCAAGTTGTGTGTCAAAAACTGTGTGATGTGGGACTCTGTGTGGGATATTTTCATGACTAACACAACCACACATATCCTATGGGAAGGTGAGGCCTTAGCTTGTTTATGATTATGTCACTTGGGTCAATAGTTTATGGAACCAAGTGACTATTTCGATGCCCCCACATACAAAATCCTGCACTTCATTCAAAGCACAGGATTGATGAGGGATAATCAAAAGGGGAAGCACAATAGACCAGTGTAGATCATGGTGCAAGGGCCGAGAAGGCCTACGCCTCATACATTCATTCAACACAACCAGCTGAATTTCTAAGATAATAAAGATACTATGATACTATTATTTTCCTACTCTTTATAGGCTTACTGTGTCAAAAAATAATTTTAAAGGAGTGTGGATCAATACACCAATTCTATATACATTTCTGAACATGATATGAAAATTAGAAAAACAAAACATCAGTTTTCCCAAGTTTATTGCACTTTAAGTTAAATGTTGCTTTTACCATTTTAAATGTTTAAATATCCTCCATCCCAAGGAGTGAGTAGGAATTAAATGTTCTGCGTCATTGAAGAGTTAAAGCAGTTCATTTCTTGATATAAAATGATGCAAGAATTTCTGTGAAAAGCTAATCACCTACTTTCCTTTTACAACATTGAGTATTTGATATGGCATTAACCACATAGTAAACTCTGTGTGAACATGTTTATCGAGCCGTTGCTTAGAATTGGTATTCTCTCGCGGTTTGCTTGTTCCAGCTTGTTAGAGGTGGGGGAAACAGCAAAGTTGTCTTATAATTCTCCTTTTGTTTTCTCAGAGCAAGGAAGGTAAGCTGTTGAAGGCAAACTGGTACAATATTTCAGTGATGTTTTGCTTTTTTACATGACAGTGCAAAGTACTATTTCTGTAATATTTCTACGCAAATAAGTGCTAAATTTTTAATATTTTCACTGCTATTTCAGCAAATGCATTTTCCCAAAGACAAAGTGCACATGATGGTATAACTTATTACAGAAATAAAGTCATAAAGTCAATAGAAAGTCCGTCGAGTGTAACAATTTTTTTAATTCACTTCTTTATCATTTTTGCCCTACATGTTTCGGTTTTAATAAAACCATCATCAGAGGCACATGGTACTAACAAGAAAACACTGGCGTTGTTTAACTGTACACAGTATACGAGGTGTGTTCAGGAAATAACGGGAATTTTAAAATTTCGCAGGTTTGGAGAGTCCAATTGTCAAATTTTTTTTTTATTATGTTGGTATACATGCCCCTGAAGTACAATAAAATTTTCAGCTGTATTCATTGCTTACTTTGTCTGTGGCAGCCGCTAAGGTTAGACGTGTTTTTATGAGCTTGGCGATTTTCGTTTGTTAAAAGAAATGGATCAAAGAATTTGTATCAAATTTTGCGTAAAAAATGAAATAAAGTGTTACAAAGTGTGTGAAATGTTAACAAAGGCCTATGGTGAGTCTGTTATGAGTAAAACAAGAGTTTACGAGTGGTATAAGCGTTTCCAAGATGGCCGTGAAGACGTTGCAGATGACGAGCGCCCCGGACGCCCCAGCACATCAACAACCGATGAAAACGTGGAAAAAGTGAAAGCAATGATTATGAATGATCGCCGAATCACAATCAGAGAAGTNTGCACGTTCAACTCTCACATTCCATCCGAAATTGCCCTCAAGTTAAAACGTCACTATTAAAATATTTTTAAATATTCCTAGCAAGTGTTGTGCTTTTACACATCGACATTTGTAGCAGCGTCCACGCAGCATATATACTGTGTACAGTTAAACAACGCCAGTGTTTTCTTGTTAGTACCATGTGCCTCTGATGATGGTTTTATTAAAACCGAAACATGTAGGGCAAAAGTGATAAAGAAGTGAACTAAAAAACATTGTTACACTCGACGGACTTTCTATTGACTTTATGAGTGATAGTGTAACGGACCAAAAATGAAACAATTCAAAATATTACAGAAATATTTGAACTACCCAACAACAAAGTCATCTAGTTTCTACAAGAGCTTACAAGATTTTACTGCTAGCTTTCAGGAATCAATGACTATGTCAAATTGATATACGTCTGTATATCTGTGTGCGTGTGTGTGTATATAGCATAAAAATGTCCCATTTCTAAAATAGTGTGACATATTGTGCAACGGAGAACCCCTCCCTACCCAGCAGCAACGTGGCAACACAGGCCACAGTGACGTAGCGGATGAGTCAGCGCTCCCCCCCTCCTCCGCACGGTAATGTAACGCGCAACGCGCGGTGACGTAAGACGGCGTGAGGTAACAGCGTTGCTAGGCTATACGCAAACACGGCACTGCTTCCTACTGTGACATGGCACGTAACAGGCCCACACAGCCCCTATATAAGAGAGCTGCGCAGCCTGCGAAGTTAGTTGTAATGTGGCTATCGCCGAGTTCAGTAGTAGTTGAGCGAGTGTGTTATCAACAGTCCTCAAGTCAGCAGACTACAGTTGGAGTATAGCAGCCGTCGTGGAAAGAAGAACCGGACGTGTGTGTAATTGTGTAATTGGGAGTGTGTGATACAGTGATACATAGCTCCCCTACTGTAAACGTGTAGACTACTGAAGAGAGAGTGAACTTATTGGCGCATAGGGTTATAAATCGTGAAACCCCGCAACAGTGTAATAATTAATTGTAGCCGTGATTTGTAGGTTGTTGAATAAACCAATTAACAATCCTAACGGCGTCTTCAGTAACCCAACACGTTACAATACATTAAATTAACTGTGCTGATATGACCACTTGGCCTACAGATGGAATCTTAACATTTAAATATAAAACAATGAATCAGTTCATACAGTAGGTCAATAAATAAATGCAATTATTAATTCTTTCTTTACTCTCTGTTCCTCTTATATACCTAGTTAATTTTGACTAAATGTCACAGGTGTTTCTTTCCAGTAATTCTTGTTAATAAAATGGAAAGGGGTTAAAACTGCTGCTGCTACTACTCATCATCATCATCATCAGTAATCTGTCACACGACAGGTCCACAGTCTCTTCCAAAACAATTCCTCCACATAATGCGATCTAGAGCTTTCTCCTTCAAATGACAGTATCCTCTTCTGTCCCCAAGGTCATCCAGCATCTTCTTACGTCTTCTTCCTCGTCTTCTTGTCACTTCTATCTGCCCCTCTATCTTTCCTTCAATAACTTGTTTTAGAAGGCAGTTTCTGTGTAAAACATGACCAATCCAATTAGCCTTCTGTTTTCTTATTTCATGTAGGATGTTCCTCTGCTCACTGACTATAATTAACACTCCTTCATTTCTCACATAATCTGTCCAACTGATATTCTCCATCCTTCTCCAACACCACATTTCGAAACTTTCCAAATGTAGCATTTCACTAGTTTCTTCCTCAAATTTAAGTCCAATTTGCTGGTAAAAGGATTCTTCTTCTTGCTAAATGCAGCTTTTGCCATG